CCACTTGCACCCCCAGTCCCCCGTGGCTGGCCCCCCCAACCCCAGCCTCCGGCACTTACAGAGTGAGAGGGAGCAGTATAACAGAGCTACGTTCACGACTAGAAATAAAATGGCTGAACTTTGAGCTAATGATAGAGAGGAAAGCAATAGAAAATTGACCAGCATTCACATTACTGTTCAGGAAAGAAATCAGAAGCGAGAAGGGTGGCAGGTAGTTACTGTGAGATATGCGAATGTGATAAATCTGTGTGTGTGAATCTTAAATTACTTTCTGCTACTTTTTGGTGAATCGGCTCATATCAGTGGATGTAGAATTTACTTTGTGTTTTCAATTTATTTTGTGCCGGTCAGAGAAATATACTAATTGCTAATTAGAAGGCAGTTCAGTTAGTTGCCTTGAATACAACATTTCTATAAGTTGCCTGAAGCTTCCTTTTTTACAAGAGTATTTCCTTAGTCCATTTGGCTCTACATTTTGGGTTATTGTTTATACAACCCTGCTCTTTTTACTTCATTCCCCATTCTTGATCTCCCTAACCAGCCTGATGGTTGCAAATTGGGCATTCATAAGGTTAAGTTAAGTAAGTAAAATTTTGAGGTACTGGGGAAGTCAAGAGCATTGATATTGCTCTGACCATTGTTCTTCAATGGTCTCTAGAGTATAGTGCTTTTGGGGAATTATTGCAGCTAATTAGCCAGCCATCCCTAAAATAGAGGAAATGGAATGGAGTCGCAAAATTGTAATCTCTGCTGCTCAATCTGATGTATTAATCAAAGTGTTTAGCTGGGTATTTACCTTCACTTTGTCACTTTTGATTACAGGAACCCCAGGACCAAAGGGAAGCCAAGGATTTCCTGGATCACCTGGACCGCCAGGCCAACCAGGTCCTCGAGGATCAATGGGCCCCATTGGACCATCTCCTGACATATCACATATTAAGCAGGGCAGACGAGGCCCAATGGTCAGTATTTTACCTTCCTGACAAAAATCTGTAGTGTCCATTCCTCCAGCCTCCTGTCCCTCCCCTTTCCTCATGCAACTCAGTAGAACCCTGTGAATATTGTTCCTTGCAGGGTCCACCAGGAGCACCAGGGAGAGATGGCAGCAAGGTGAGCAGAGAAGTATTGTTCCCTTCCTGACTATGTGCATGCGCTCATTCACTGTTACTCCTCTCTCACTGGTCCTATAGAAGGTTTCTTCTAAATACTGGGATAATTTTTTTCTCCTGCTGGTTTGAGGATGGCATGGAATCTTTCAGAGTCTTTACTTCTGATTTGTCTGCTTGCATATGAATTTCAAGCTTTTTAGCTACTCCTTCAAGATGCTCCACACATTTGCCATGTACTTTAGATACTCTCACTTCAGGTGTTCTGCAGAAGCCTACCTGTTAGCTGTTACTCATGCCTGTTCCCCTTATTCTCTGTTTTGGACCTTTATTTATGTTTCTTTAGTCTGGAGAATGCTTCTCCTCTCATATGGCAAGTAGCTTCCCTTGCTTTCTATATATCCCTCACTAAATATCTTTCTGCAAAGTGAAGTACTCTGAAATGCCTTCTGTGCCCCTTCCCATTTCACTTGATAGCTCTTCAGTTGGCATTACACTAGGTATGACTTCACCTAATCTAGTAGAGAATTACCCTGAGAATCAGGAATAAGCCTTTCTCAGTGTCACTTAAACCACTTCTTTCATTAGTGGACTCCTCTGGAAAATTTGAATGGAGGTTTGGACCCCTTTGAATTGTAAGTGCGGATATTCACATACTTCTGATCGATCATAGTCATCTTTTGCATACCCCTTAGACATAGCCTGCAAACCCCCAGGGGTCTGCAGACCAGGAGTTTAAAACCACTGACTTAGGCTATTTTAGGTTGCATCTGTCTACTTCTGTCCTGAGGTGGTGTTGACTTCCAGATGAGAACGAAGAAAGGTTTAAAGAGCTAGCCCACCACAATTAAATACTCATAAGACTTTAAGTTTTTAATAGCAAATTCAGTAACAAAATGCAGAAAATATATAAATGACTAAACAGTTCAGATAAGCCATATCACATAAGTGATTAAACTTTATAAAATGCACATTTATCTCAAGGCATGACAATCTTATCGATACTTGAAAGCAATTTAATCTTAACACTTCTAAGCCCCAAAGTCTTAAAGATTCTAACAGATGGCCAGCTCTTTAGGGAAAGGACCTTCTTACCTAGCTTTCAAAAACAAAATTGCTACATAGCACTAAGCAAGTACACTTGAAAGGAGGCAACTCAGCAAGAATTGTAGTTCAAGACTACAGTTCCAAAGTAGACCCAGATTTTATACTCTATTTCTTGTCTAAAATATCAAAAAACCTAATAAGGTTAAAAAAAATCAAAGAATTTGTAGTAAGTGCTACCTTAATTAATATTCATTAAGCCTTTTCTCATTTCCTGTATAAGCTAGATCTTATCTAAAATTAACCTTGTCTATCACCAAGCTGCTAAATGTACTTGAGGGAACCTTTTATCAATCTATCTTCCTGGAGCTTTCTAAAATTGTTCATGTCTTATGACATTCTCTTGCCTGATCACTTCTAATGCCTGTTCTTCTCCTAACCAAACTATGATCAAGCAAATAAAAGTAACTCTGTATTATGCTATCCTAAGCAGCTTAAGGCCTGTTATAATCTACAGTGGGCATTTGCTAAATCCAAAAGGGGCTGTCAGCTGCTCCTCTAGATGGTAGCGCACATCTGCCCATACTTGTTCCCAGTGTAATTTATATTGGGATGCAAACCCTATGTAAATTATGCCAGGGCAAATTAACATCTATCCACATCCTGGGTCAGGGTGTCAAATGTATGGCCTGTGGGCCAGATCCAGCCCAATGAACCCTACAATCCAGCCCCTGATGCTGCCTCTTTTACTGCACCAGATCAGCCTTCTTGTGCAGTGCCTGAGACATGCACTGGCAGCTGTGCTTGCTCAAACTGATCCCAGCCTGTACTGCCCATGCCTCAGCAAGCAGTGGGAGCAGTGCAGCCCACAATGTGGCCTGAGTGAACAGCATGGGAAGTGCAGCCAGGGATCAGCAGCAAAGAAGGCAGCCTGCTGAGGCTGAGTCCTGGGCTGCACTGCCTGCTTGGGCTGGTCCCAGGCAGTGCCACCCACCAGAGCCAGGTCCCAGGTTGCAATGCCGGCACCTCAGCAGGTGGCATGGATGGCACAGCTCAGAACCCAGCTCCAGCAGTGCAGCTTGCTGGGGCCAGGTCTCAGGCTGCGCCACCCACCTTTCTGGAGTGGCCTGGGTGAGTACTGCCTGTGCTGGATCAGGTGAGGATGGGGGAGCAGTCTATGGGCCTGATCCAGCCCATGAACCAGCCCCATGCCACTCATCTGGTCTGCAGGGTCAAATAAATTTGATCCCCCTGCCTTAGGTCATCGGCTTGCTTGTCCTGCTATATGATTTTATTCACTATTGTAAGAGAAAGGGTTAAAAAGAACCAGCATTTGCACACTTCTGCTTATATTGGAGGCAATGGGAATTTTACACCTGCCTTTGTTGGCAGCAAAAATATACCAATTCTGAGTACTTTTCAAAACCAATCTTGAATTTCAGACATTTTATATTTCCGTTTCTCACTAGCACTTTCTCTGGTGTTTTTCTGGAGAGCCCCCTGCCCCTTACTCCCTCTCCATCATGGATCAAGATATCTGGGCCACATAACTGAAAAGTCACTGTCTGCAACACCTCAGCCTGTGCATTTTACTTTGTTTCCCCCAGCTGGTGTAAAGTAATACGTTATTTCAGCAGGGCTATCTTTTCATAAAATAACTGCTGCATACATGCGTTTCTATTTATCCATCATCACTGATATGAACATGCAATAATTAGAGCACACATGAAGGTTTTCTTAGCTTAAAAATACAGTGTTGTCATAAGGACAGAACTGGGGAAATAATCCAATAAATAAATATATTTTGATCACAGTTTTGTCTTTTCAGGTTCCCTTTTCCTGAATGTTTCTGCAGTCCGTTTCACTACCATAACAGGCAGCGAAATTTGTGATACCAAATTTCAAAATTGGTATCACAGTAAGCTGCTCCAGCTGGGCTCCATGTGCTGCACACAAATACATTCCAGAACAATAGGCTCCAGAGTTTTTTGCTTCTGGGCGCACACTCAAAGGGTGCATCCTCGACCAAAAAACTCTAGAGCAATAAATGTTGGAGTTTGTTTGTGCACATTCATTGCACATGTAGACGCACCCTGTTTGTCTCAGAAGAATTGACCTGCTCTTCTATTCAGGGGAGAAATTATGCTGGATACTTGCTGACCAATCTCAAGTACCGAACACCAATAATCTTTAGACTGTATAAAGATCTATCCATCCCATAGGTCAGGGCAGGCCACCTGGCAACCTGCAGGCTGCATGCAGTGAATTAGCAGTTAACGTGCATCTTGTGGGATGCCCGTTGAACAGTCCTGCCCTATGGGGTGGGTTGATTATACGTAGTCTAAAGATGATGTGAACATGCAGGGTGCTTGTGTACGTGATGGGGTTTTTAGTCCTTAGGGCTGCATTCTATGCCCCCTAAATTGAAATGATTAATTTTTCAATTGAAAAAACATGTTTTATTTTTTCTGTCTCTGTCTATATCTTATTGCCTTGGCAGCTTGCCAGGCACCTACTGATGTCAGAAGTGGTGAGGGACCTGATCCTTTTTCTTCAGCGGAGCCTGCCTACCACTCCCACAGCCAGGGGGCCATTAATCTGTGCCATTAATCAGTCAGCTCACCCCCCAGCTCCGGAAGAGGCAGGCTTCACAGAAAAAAAGGATCGGGCCCCTCACCACTTATGCCTTCAGCAGGCTGCCATGGCCGGCAGGACACCTGGGGCACCCAGGAATGGGCTAGCTTGCCTCTGGGGCAGCGTGGGGAGGCCTCAGGAGGGCAGCTGGGTGTGCTGGCAGCTGGAGAAGGCAGCAGGGGTAGTGCATGGGGCGCTAGAAGTCTAAGTGGGCTCCCCATGCACTGTACCTGTCACCTTCTCCAGCCTCCAGCACACCCAGCTGCACTTTTGCCGCCTCCCCATACTGCCTCAGGGGCAAACCAGCCCATTCCTGGGTGGCCCCAGACATCCTGCCAGCTGCAGGAGCCTGCTAAAGGGAGAAGCCGTGAAGGGCCTGATCCTTTTTTTCTGTGGAGCCTGCCTGCCTCTCGCACAGCTGGAGGGTGAGCTGACTAATGGCTGCAACTTTCCAAGTTGCAATGTTGCAAACTAAGCTATATCGGGATGTAGTTTAGTTTGCAACAATGCAAAATCATTTCAAACCCCCAAAACTCACATACATATAATGTGTGATGCCATTAAGCCACACAAAGGGAAATTTTCATCAGGTGTACATTATAATATCAACATGTGTACAAGCACCCATAGTCTAAACATGCAGGTGAGTTGGATAACCCTACCAAAGTGCAAAAAGCTATTGGCAAAATAAATTGGATTAATGTATATGTTTGTATGGAAGAAATAGTGCTTTGCTCAGATAAAGAGGCTGCATTTGTCAAATAAAATTATTTGCTGCACATTTTTCACTCAGTTCTAAGCAGGGTGATAATAGAATACTGGAATCAAATACTTCATCAGGTCTCTGCTGCAATCACTATCAAACCTGAAACACAAGTTGAACCACTGTGATGTTCCCTAATGACGGTCCACATTTTAGTGTTGCATGGAAAATTAATTTTTTAGTTTGACTTTTTTTTCAGTTCAATTTTTGTATTTTCAATTGCATGTTAATCCCCAGTGCTCCGCTACCAGCATGGTGCCACCAGGAAGTGAGAGCATGGAGCCTGGGGAAGTATGCTCCCCAGGCTCCATGCTCTGGCTGCCTGGTGGTTCCAAGCTGGGAGCAGAGGTTAGTTCCTAGCAAGTGCATGGAGCCCTGGTGTATGCTGTGTGCCATGTAGTGAGCATGCTGGTTTTTAGCCCTGTGCCCTGGCTCTGCCTTCCTTCCTCCTCACTGACCAGCCCATACCAGCTGGGTTCAGGATGGGACCACTGGGACTTGTGGGGGAAGGGGGAGGCAGGCAAGACCCCCCCACCGCCAAGCAGCATGAGCTAGCAGAAGTTGCCAGGTTTCAAGGAACCTGTGGCCAAGTGGCACAGACGAAAGAGGACCCGGGCAACTATAGGCCCGTCAGTCTTACCTCTATCGTTGGGAAACTCTTTGAGAAGATCCTCAAGGAGCACATCTGTGATGGGCCGGCTTCAGGGATGATGCTCAAGGGCAACCAGCACGGTTTCATTAGGGGCAGGTCATGTCAGACCAACCTGATTGCCTTTTATGATCAGGTCACAAAGGCAATGGATGCAGGTGTCGCTGTGGACGTAGTCTTTCTAGACTTCAGCAAGGCCTTTGACACCATCTCCCACCCCATCCTCATTAAAAAACTAGGCGACTGTGGCATTGATGCCTACACAGT